CCGGACTCAGTGCACGGTATTGGGCTAAAGGAGTTGCTGACCTTCTACAGGAGGGGCGGCATTCTGGACGCCCTCTAGAGCGGCCTGGGGGCACAACGGACCCATCTGGTGGCCTAAGTGCTTGGACGCCCGCGAGGGCGCCCCCCTTTAATACCAATACCAATACCAATACAATACCCGATGATGTCTGTATAAATCACCGAAAGCCAGATTTATTTTTCTAGAGGTCATATTTAATTCATAATTCAAAAAATTAATTTCGTAGTGTTACGGAATTATTAATATTCCTTATACCGATAATTACTTTCGTTTCGTAGCGGGAAAACTTTTGAAGTTTCCCTTTTTTCCCAATTTCGTACTTCTCGACTCGATTGAAAAATTCCCTATCGAGCAACTGCGGTCTCGATATTTTCCAAGGAACTTTTTACGTTGCCACTTGTCCGCATGTTACATTTTGCGGTTCGATGAGCCATATGAAACTTGCAGGACGCGAGACCATCAATCGATTAAAAATACTTTATCAGTTATGTGAAAAGCAATGTTGCGGCCGCGCTCCCGATCCGGATGAGTTTTAGAATTCAATTTTAGATTAGATCGCTCGGAAAATACTATAAATAAATTGTTGTCTGTATGTCGTTTTTCGGATATTGCGGATAAACTGAAAAAATCCCATTCCTTTAAACACCGTTTACCCGTATACAGGGTGTATAAAAAACGTCCTTTTTAATTTCTTGGGTAGGGAAGGGTGTTGCAGGGTGGCCCCCTGGGGCAAGGAAGCCCGCTTTATCTTATAAATTCTAGTTATTTTTACATTTTTAGCCCTTTGAGTAATACCAGGGGTAAAATGGCCGCTTAAAAATTCTAAGCTATTCCATATTATGATAACCGAATCATAATTAATTTATTTTCCAAAATCTTACAAATACAAATTACAAACTTTTTAATCTATAGAAAAGTAGTTATTATTCAGTAACGTTCCTTGTTTAGAGTGGGGTACAACGGCCAGAAGCTTCTCCAAAATTTGGGTAAATTTAGTTAAAGTTAGTCCCTGGGGCGCAACGGACCTCTCATAAATAAAATAACCTAAAAAGGACCTCGCAAAATCCGTTTTTGTTTTACTACAAAAATTTAAATTTAAAAAATTTATTTAAAGTAATCTTCTAAACTTTAACCTTAATTTACGTTTAGAACTTTACACAAAGGTACCTTTTTTATGGCAAATTGTTTAAAAAGATATCATTTTTGCTCAAAACATTAAAAATATCCCCATAAAAAGCTCGATTGACGATCGTGAACGCAAAATTAACTTTGCTTTACTACAGCAGCTTGTATGACCTAAAAGGGTGTTTGTGTTGTATAAATTTTATTTAGGTGTCTTTAAATTTTTCAGAAATGTATAAAAAAATGATTTTGTGGGGGCATTTTCTGACACATGCTTATTAAAGAAACAAACCTTGAAATTAGCATAACGTTTTTGGAAACATCCACTGTAATATTGTGTTTTAGGAATTCGATTTAGTGGAAATGAGCCTTGTAATCATTTTTCTTAACCGACAGTTTTAGTATTTTATTTTTTTATCATTTCGTTTTTTAGGTTTCTTTTTATTATATGTTTCTAAAAAAACTATATCGATTCACTAATTTTTGTTTAATTTAATTAGACTGTTTATTGATACAAAAATAAATATTGGTCATTAAACTTTCCAAACTTTCTATTTTCTAGTAAAGTACCGAGGAAAAAAATTACACTGAAATTAATGAATCTACAACGTTTAACATTTTCAGGTTGAAAGCTTGATACGCAGTAATTAAAATCTGAAATTCTCAATGGGTCGTCCACAAAATTATTATACCAAAAAACATTTTCTGATTTATAACTTCTGTTTAATTTGTCACTCATATTTTCTCACATGATAAGATTATTATCAACTTATTACAAGAACTCAAAACGTCCCAAATATTCGATACTCAAATTCAGTATAATTGAATTTTTCATTTTGCTCTCTGCCCTAAAACAATTTATATTAACATGATAATATTATAATTTTCCCGACTCGATCTGGAAAGTGAAATTTTCTGCTTATTTTTTCCCATTCACAATTTTACTTTATAATTTTCATGCAATACCGCAAGCGCATATGAAGAGCGCAATTTAATTTTTTGCGACTTATACTTGTATTCATGGTAAAACGATGAACAAAAACAACTATACACTGACTACTAATAGCTTTTATATGTTTAGTAATTTTAATGGGGTTTCAAAACGACTATATTCGTTATTTAATGCGCGATTAAATTGGTTATAGACCGGAATATTCGTAAACAAGCGAATTTATTTTATAGGTATTTCCATAAAAGCTAAACAATGAATTTGCCGTTTCGCCATTGGATTTGCCTATTCACTTCTCAAAACCGCTACTCGAAATCCGCACCAAAACAAACAAATATTTTTATAACGGCCTTACATAAAACAATTGTTGCTTTATTTAAAAATGAGTAAACTACAAATGGACTATAAAACAAATTTACTTTAAAAAACTTTTTAAAATGCCGTATAAATAGCTCCGTTTAAACCAATCTGCGAATGGGGTCTTTTCACATTGGGGATCAATTCTTACCCGACGAACATCAGGCTTCTTTTTCTTAAAATGGGAAACATTGTTCTCGTGAGAACGGTTAGCGTGAAACGCGTTAAACTGTGAGCGCGAGAAAGAGAGACAAGATAGAAAACGTTATACTTTTTCATGAAACCTCTTAAACTGTCACCAGAGTACGTCGGTTGGTTAAAACTGATGTTATTGCGACATACTTTCATATCTTATACTTACCTTATCTTAATAGTATATTATGCAAAAAGTTTGATAAACTCACGAGTTTGATTTTGCACCGAAAACACCAGTGACTAAAGTAACCTGACGAACATAAATTTATTTAAAAAAATTAGGGAAAAAAGTTAATTATCTGTCTTACTCTATTTGGTTAACTGAATTTAATTTAATTTAAATTATGTTGTCTATGTATGTCTATGATAAACAAATCCCAATTAATTTTTATCTGTAACTAAAGAAACAAGTAACGATTAACAATATTGAAAAAAACCTGAAAATTAATAACGTGTATTCCCTCCTTTTGCGTTTACTACTATTGTTAATCGACGAAGCATGTTTTGCATTCAATTATAGACTACGTTCTGATCGAGATTGTTCCATTCCTGCATTAGCATCTTTCTCAGATCTTGTGCATTTCTTGGAGTTGGTTAGTTTTGGTTAGTTAGTCTCACCCCCACATGTGTGCGTTGGGATTCATCTCTGGACTGAGTGCTAGCTAATCAGACCGAGTATTTCCACCTCATCCAGATATTGACTGATAATTCTGACGGTGTGGGGTCTAGCATTAAAGGCATAGCATGATCATCCAGGAATTCCGTAATGTACCTGTGAGCTATCAGAGAGCCATTCTCTATAAAGGTCAATTCTGTGCGTGCTTCCGAACTGATTCCCGCCCAAACCTTAACCGAACCAAGATGTGCAAGTCAATACAACCTGGGCCATATCTTATTCCGGGTCTCCACCATACTCTACGACGTGATGATCCTTCTTCTACCCGATCCTGGTCTTCTAGTGATCAAGTGAGTTTATTCGTACCATTGGTATACATTTTGGACAGTACATAGATTCCTATCAACAATTCTTGAAGTTTCTTGATTTCTTCGACCATCTGGTATTAACGTTACACAACAATAGGATCTAAAGGCATTATACCAGTTAAATACACCTAAGATCTAAAATACACCAAACAATCATAAGTTTTATGAAGATAAATGTTCAACGAACTGGAACGAATTTCTAATTAAGTCGAACTTACATTATTTGATAATTTGTTATTTGATTGTTTGTTATTTGTAATATACCTAATTATACACCGATCTAGCAAGCGGAAAGCATGATTTTACCACCTGAGGTTCGTTTCCCACGAATCCGAGTCACTGCGGAAATTTCGGGATATTACCGCACGGGTTTGGGTGCAATCGGATGTTTTCGGAGATATTATCGCCCGGTTTGAATATTGACGTTTGTCAATTTTGACGGTCATTTTGGTGTTGTTTTCCAAAAATGTACCCAAAAACGAAGAGTCGTAGAAAAAGTATAGTATGCAACACGTTTGGTAAATTTCTTGTCACTCTTTTATTAAAACTCGTGACTAAAATGCCGTTTACCACACTTGTTGCATAATACACTATTTACAAATTATTTGAAATTTCTTGAGTGACCTAAATTTTTTGCTCGCCAGTGTAAAAAAGTGACACTTTCCGAACGGGTGGATTTTGGATTAGATTTTGTTTAATTTTCGGTTTTACAGTTAATAAAGCCGTTCTAATAATTTGCCTTGTCAGTTCATCGCATTAGCTAGTCTACCTAAATAATTTTCATCGCAAGAAGCTGAAGGGCCAATGCTTAATTATGCTTAATGCTTAATTATTATTAGCTTACGCCATTTTGTGCATCATTTTGGTGTTATAGACCAGACAAAATAAAGGACGAAAACTATACAGTTTTTGCTTTGTCATTCCTATACATTCATTTTTTTTACATTGTAAACTATATACGTAAAAACTTTAAATTGCCAATTTTTCTAATTATGCGAAAAGAAGTATTTCAATTATAATTTAAATTTCATAGTTGTTTTGGTTTGGGACATATGCTTATACTTTCATAGGTTTATCTTAATTTTACTCTCAAATACTTCAACCGACCCGCCCATATTTTTAAATTTAACACATATTGTACACGTTCCTCGTTTTTAGAGAATATTATTGGAAATTATGACAATTTGCAAAAGCTGGAACCCTCTCTACCTGCATTTAAGAGTTAATAAAAATCTTGAGCTCACTAAATTATTATATATTCATTTATCTAAGGCACATCTGAAAAATTTAGTTCTTATGAACTGTGTGTAGAAAAATATTCGCATATTATTAATCAGTTTTTCTTTCTTTTCAGACAGTAACTTCGTCCTAGGAAATGCTCAGGTACCCACACTTTACCCGATCGTCTATTGTTCGGATGGTTTTTGCGAGCTGACGGGTTTCGCCAGGGCTCAAATAATGCAAAAAGGATGCGCCTGCAAGTTCCTGTACGGACCCGAGACTAAAGAGGAACACAAAAGTCAAATCGATAAAGCACTGGAATCAAAAAACGAACTCAAATTGGAAGTGATTTTCTACAAAAAGAATGGTAAGTATTAGGGATTTCATTTCATTCAGTAGAAATTCGATTTTTTTATTTTTTCTGAGAATTAAAAAAAAAAGAAATAAAATAACAACCGAAAACAAAGAAATAAATGATAATAAAATAATCATAATAATATATAAAACGTAATACTGCGTAATGAAATATCAATAATAATAATAAAAAAGATTTTGAAGACTTGATCACATTCACTAGCACAACTTTAATTGAATTGAATTGCTAAAGAAAGCTTAATAGCTATTATAATATATATACACATCAAAACTAAATAAAAACTAAAAAAAGTACTTTGGCAAAATATTATTGACAAAAATCTTAAAAATATATATATATATTTTTTGAACAGTTTCAGTCAAAAAAGTGGTATTTGAAAAAAATGTAAAATGCCCAAACTATCGTAATGTGTTGATCAGTGTGATTAGACTTTGAGTAAATTTCATGTTAATAACATGTGCCGTCACCATATTGCACGATATTAGGGTAGATCCTGCGAGATACATGGGCGTGCATGGACGAATGAACATTTGGCCAGACTCGAGAAGAAGAAGAGGTTGGAGAACACCTGAAAATGTATGTCGCTTACAAACAATTCAAAGAGTCGACAAGTATCGATTTGGGCAAGAATCAGTTTAGTGAAAACATTTTGAAACTTATTGTTTTTCCTTATGCATTACTGCGAGGACAGTAAGAGCGTTTTTAATAGAAAACTATATTGACGTTTAATTATTCCCTGTGCAATCGTCGAACGTAAAGCCCATCAAGCACGCGTGGAATATGCTTCAGAGACGTCCATCATATATAGATAATATAGAGGCCCTACTATGGTAAGAATTGATGCGCCGTAGGTGGCTATCAGTTTTTCTTAGAGAAGGTATGGATCTTTTGCGTATGCGTCACCTCCCAACTGACTGATTTGCTGCATTGCCGTAATTTTTCCGGCAAATTGATTAATTTTTATGAGAACGCAACATAATTGGCAACGCCGAGCTAAGTAATTACTTTTGACCGCGGAACAGTCTGCGCCTTGCCCAATGTTGTGTTTCTTTTTGGTGTCAATCTCCGTACCGTACTCACAAACTTGTGTAATTTGTGCTTTCAATACTTTGTTCTTCTACGAAATTACAGCAAATGTGGCAAATCTGAAGACCTAATAGGATTTTATAGAAAAAGTGATGCCTATATATTTGACATTTACCAAACCGGACAATAGACTTACACAAATATGTACATGTGAATTTACTAAACAGAATTCCCTACATTTTTAGGCACACGTAAATAGCTACGAAGGATGTTGACGCAATATGTTTTATGTACAAGGATTACGGGAAATATAAGAAAACAATTAAGCTGCAAGTTTAATTTTAATTAGAACAAAGCATAAGAAAACTTTTTTTCACTTAGATCTTTCATGTGCGATATCTAGCATCTCAACATTATTTCAATGGAGGTTGAACCTATGAGTTTATGAAAACTAATACTTTACGCCGATTTACAAAAAAAAATAGCTCGTAGCTACAGGGCTTGAAGAACAAAAACGCTAAATTAATTACTGAATTATGCTGACGCCGACGACTTCTTTTTTGCCTGAAAATTCAATTGGATTTTGACATATTTTCACTGCCGTAAAAATGCCGCATCCAAACATTGACAACGTGTCAGCAGCTATGCTGCTTGTTGAAACTCGCAAGGTCTTATGGGTCCTACGTCAGAATTTGTCTCCAGAGTTGCCATTGGTTAAAAACGAAATTATAAATCTCGCGCATGCCCACGTTGAAACGAACTTTTCTAAAATTTTTTACATAGTTGCTTCATGAGTTCCTGTACTGCCAGCATAGGCAAGGCCTCTATATGTCTAGTAGCTATACGGTATCAGCAGAAAATTTAATATTTCGAGCACGAAATCATTTGCTAAATTGTGGTGCTTAATTCTCCAAGAAGACCTCAATAACCTCAATAAAAGCCTAGGAAGCATATATTAGCAATCTAGGTGGTCATATTCTGTACTAAAATGTTATTTTTTAATGCGTTTGTTGGTATAAAAAATAAAATTTGTTTGATCAAAATCCTAATTGTGCTACAATTTTACCGTTTGCCTTAATTGTTTGACTGCCTTACTGATTTTTGGTTTATCATTTCCAGATTTTTCTATTTCCAGTTTTGATGTGTAGTTATTATTATTATCTCAGTCTTTTTTCGTGACTTAACGGATTGAATCACAAAATTTTAATTTTGGAAACGATTGTATTTCACCGTTTCCGATATTGGTAAGCAGCGTCTCTTTATATTCATGTTAAGTGTTGTATATCAAATTACACCTACATGGCGGTCACGGCGATATTCAACTGCGATTCGTAACTAATTGCTCTGTTAATGAAAATTTAACCGGAACGTTTTTCATTTCTCTGTTCAGTGGTTAACGCTCGCCCCAGCGCTGCATATTGTAAATTTTGTTATGGCGTCGCTACGATTGATAATGGCATGGCATATTGCCAGCAGAAATATGGTCTATGCCAGCCCGTAACGTGATAGCTTTATATGTGCCGCGTATACGTGATTTGTGATGATGTGCGATTATTGATGGTGGTAAAATAGTATAGGATTTACAGTCGAACGTAATGATAAAATATAGGGAAGTGCATGACGATAATTATCGATTTGATAACACATTAAAATACGCAAAAACTAACTTATTTTTCACAATTTTGCTTTCATGTTTCGTGTTCTGGTAAGTTCTCAAATACAAGCATAGAAAAATTCAAGAATAGTTTAGGAGAACTAATTTTACTCTACTTTGCTCATTAAATCAAGCAGTGTCTTAAAATACTGTACCAGAAAAAAATATCCACTGTCAACGTGTTTAATACACAAAATGGGCAAATACCTCTAGTTTTATTTTGCTAAAAAGAAATACTTGTATAATAAAATCAAAACTAAAGCAGATAAGTAAATAACTTTTTTAAATGGGGAAGCATTGCATATTAGAAATAACATAAAAAATACTGCGTAAAAAAACTAGAATACAATATTACGTTTTTCCTATTATTGGCACACTCTACATGAACCTAACTGATTGTGTTAATGTAAGTAGTCGTAGTTTCGGTAACAGTTTTGTCCAGGTCCAACATTTTGCAGCTCATTTTTTTGAAAAATGCAAATTTTGAAATAAGAGTTTCGCTTTTCGCCTTAGCAAAATGTTATACCAATTATGTCTAAAATTAACCGTAGAATCCGTATATTAATAAATATATATGGAGAAATTTTATGTCTATCTGCGTCTCCAAGATTTACAAGATATCAACCGCCGACGTACCAAGTGGGAGAGAAAACACAATTTTTGATTTAAAAAAGACACAAAATTCACAAAATAATTAAAACAATATTTTTTTTTCATACCTAAATTGCATTGTATTACTTACAATAAATTATATCAAAATTAAATTATTATTTAAATTATACATTAAATAATTGTCATTTGGGACTTGGTTAATCGATGATGAAGAATATCTTTCCAACATATTTGCCGAACACAATGTTACGTTCGTCCCAAGTTGCGATCATTTATCTTCGGGTGTTTTTATTCAAACGCGAGACTAAATTAATAAGCGTATCCCAAAGCATGTTACCTTCAACGGCGAGCTTGGGAAATTTTTCGTCTCGTCTCGGGAGAATTTGTATAACAAAATATAGAACTTTTGCGCAAACCCTAAGGCGAAGTTTTTAGGGCCTTTGAGGACCGTCATAAATTTGTCTGTTAACCCAATAAGTTTGTTTGTAGTTGTGCGTTTCTTATAAGGGCGAAGAGCGAATAACGATGAATGTTAATGTCGCGTGGAAACTTCTCTGTTATTATACTCTGTCTCTGTCATTATACTGTATATGGGTTCTAAAAAAGAGTGGGACTATTGTAAAAAAGTTCAATTTATTTTGTCTAACCAAAAACTTGTTAAAATACATTTATTTGCATGTGAAATAGCTAATCAGCCTTATGAAGGCAATTCAAGTAACCTTTAAAATTAGAAGAGAAGAGAAACTAACATCATTTCTGAGATCTTATCAACATGGGTAGGCTATATGGTTTGAGCTTTAGTTTGGGAGCTTTGAGTTTTCACCCTTTTCTTGTTTTTCTTTTGGTTAATTATTAGTTGTTAGGTAACTAATATTGAGGTTACTTAGGGTTTTTTAGTTTGAATTAATAGTCTCTGTTATCATAATTAATACCATTGGTACTTCTTGTAAACTAAAAGCATAAAACAGGCAGTTTTAAAAAATTCGCGAAATATAATTTTGAATTAGGAGATTAAATTAACATTTGCCGTTTTTCTTTGTACTTAATTAAGATCTCCTGACATCAAAGAACAGCAGGGAGTTAATTTTGGCGTCTTTAAAAAGTTTCTATTTTTTTTTCTGATTTGGTTAAAAAAATTCGGTTTAAAGCTTTAATTTGCGTAATATATTCAACTCAAGACATACTGCTGAGACGTCACTGATCTCACAGTTAGGTTTTGGGCATAGACAAAACATGTCGGACTAATTTTCTGCCGTTTCAAAACAGATGCAAAATATATATTATCAAATTTAACAGCGAAACTTCTATTAGAGGTTGGTTCCCCTTGGTTGTTTATAAATTGTCATTAGGAAGGAGCCCAGCTATAGCTGAAATATGAAATAATGGTTCAGTTAATCGGATTATAATATTAAATTAAACAAAGATTCAAAATAAATACATATTATTTGTACATGTGTATACACCATGTTCCAAAACAAATTGAATTAGACTACACCTATTTTTAATTAAATTTAAGAAAAAATTGACATAATGACATTGAAAAAAATTGATTTTTATATAGGGTATAGATTATAATTAAATTATTCTAATTTAATTTTCTCTCTTTCTTTTTATTCGTTTTGTGTATAGTGTTCAGCTTCACTAGAACTGACGTGACAAAACAGTAACGTGTCACAAACTTTATTTTTTCATTACAGTCTGTCTTTGCTGGCTTACATCTCCACAATTCCCTTCCAGAGGAGTTAAAACATCTACATATTAAAAAGCTCAAAAATCATCCCAAGTCGTTTTTAACTAAAAACACATATTCTGCGTCAAAATTTCTGTATGCTTTTAAATAAAAATAAGGTCTTTCCCTCATACAAAATAACAGTTTTTTTACGTTTGTTTGAATAAATTTGTGAAAATTTTGTTTTTTCCTTGTCTCATTGTTCTTTCCTACTTTCTTTGTAGTGCTCGGAATTAAATAAATGTCTCTATCTATCCAACTAACGTAAAATTTCGAATAGATAACGAATTGAAAACACGAAAGCAATTTCGAGCACTTCAATTTGGAAAATTATTATTCCTGTTTTTTTTTTTCATTTTTCTTTAACCCGCATTCAGATCCCAGGGCTTTTCGCAAGCCACATTTATTGCCTGCATATACGCTTGCATATTACGTTAGCGAACGCGTTCGGCAAAAGCGTTTGTTACTTCCACGATTCCAATTTCCTTGCGAAAATTGCTGCGCAGATCGTTGTTCTAAATTAATTGAATAGTTTTTTTCGTATTAAAAGTGGCAGGGAGTGTTTAATCATTTTATAATTATATAAAGATTTCATCTTCAAGAACTGTCATTTTTTACGAGTTCATGACACATAGTTTCAGAAACAGAACAGAAACGCTTCGCAAACTCGACGGCGTATTAAAAAATTGTGTTGTGGCCATGCAGGCTACTATGCCTATTGTTAAAATATTTGGGACATTGTTTCGTTGGCTTCTCAAGCAAAACAGCAAATTATATTTTTTCTTACTCCCGTCTGTAGAATTACACACCGATCTAGCGTGCGGGAAGCGTCACTTTACCACGTCAGTTTTATGTCCCACGGATCCGAGCCGGACATTTTCGAATATTAGGGGTTTGGGGGCAATCGGATAATTTCCCACGCCCTCAATTTGCCGTTTGTCAATTCTGACGGCCATGTCAGTGAATGTATTCGTGTCAAATAAACTCGTCAGTCAAATGCCGTTTAGCGCACTTGCTGCATAATATACTATTAAATGCCCTGTATATTATTAAATTTTTAGATTATATGAAAAATTATGAAACTTTCTATGTGACATATGTTACAGCTTCTTTGAGCTACTTCGCGAAAAGTACCGAAATAATAAACCATTTTGTTACATTGCATTGCATTTTATTGGGACAATAAAAAGAACGATTCCTTTTTAATCCAAACATATCATACCGATTTTGAACAGTTTTGGGTTTAAAAACGAAGAACTAGAATAATGCAATTCTAGTAGTAACCCATGGCGATATAGTTTCATATTTCAAATGGATAGTATTTATCAAACAATTTATTTTATTTATTAATTTATATTATGTAAACAAATATTGTACTTAAATATACGTCAACAGACGAAATTTTAAATTTAAAAAATATCAAGAAAATCTACACTTTTTAGAATGAATTATTTGGTCTGACTAGTGTAAGTTTTCAAAAAAAGAAATATTTAACAGAGGAAACTCACATCTTTCAGTTACAAAAACCCCCATTTCGTTTGTTATAAGCAGTTATTTGGATTGATAAATTGTTTGACAAATACTATCTAATTAAATTGTCAAAATATATTAAACTTAAAAACGGTTCAGCATAAGTATAACATGTTATAAGCCTTTTAGGTGACGATTAAAAATTTACATTTATAAATTTTGCAACATGTGCATTATTTTGTAAACACCCTGTATATCTTAAAAGAAGTAAAAAAAAATCTACCTAAAACGCTTCGACAATAAGGAATTATTGTCTTGTTGGATATTTTTTGCAAATTAAAAAAAAAATGATCTCCAAAATACAAAATATTAATCTAAAATGTAAAAAATTTAATCATATATAGGGAATTCCATTAAAAAAAAAGAGGTTCAAGGACCAGGTTTATTTCTAAATTCTCAAATTGGTGACTACCAGTCTATAATTTTCGAGCAAATAATTATCGACTTGAAGGCAGAAACTTTAAATTCATTGCAAGACAAAACTTCCGTGTAGATAAACAGGGATCGAAAAATTATATCTGGTGGCAAAAGTAAACAATGTCTGCTGCTGCACGAAACTGAATAAATACAGCATTAAACGTAACAGGCAAAAAATTGTAATTAGCAGGGCGTGGCGGAAAATTAATTGTTCAGTTTCCTCGGACTTGCTGAGAGCGAGAAACGAGCGCACTACAAAAAGATAACGCGATAGGGAAAAATGGATCGCGCCTACAAAAAACAAATGGCGGAAAAGGAATGATATACTGAAACGAAGCTGCAGGATTAAAATAATTTAGGCGAACAATTGGCATAAGATTTATTCATTACTTTAATACCAATTTCGTGAGCACTCAACAGAAGATAAGTTTTTGAAATGTATTATGTCTGTTTCTCACTTGGTAACTAATTACTAAATTGCTGCAATTATTTCTGGCATGGTTCTAATTTTATTTCGAGGCGGAACCAATTCTTTAGCAATTATTCAAAAATACTACTAGAATAAAGAGGTTATTGTACATTCCACTCTATATAGTCTGCCTCCTTCTTCATCGTTCTGGCTTTTGACGGCAATTATGTAAGTTACCTGCCGACGGCAATAAAACTCATGTCCGGTAAGTATTGAATGATAAAACATTAGGGATGGACTCTCAAATATATATAATTTTAAATTGCAATTATCTGTACAAATTTTAATATTCACTTAAGTTTGGCGTAACTTTGAAGTTCGACAAGATATGAAGGACACTTTATACAGGGTGTATTCACAACAAAATAACATCGATTTTGCGAAAGTTGCTGTGGCAACCAACAAAAATTGTCGAAATGTCACTAGTATATTTTAACAATGCGTTATAATACATTATACTTTAACCAGCGTTTGGTTACTATCCAAAAATTGTATAGAAGTAATGGTTTTTATATTCAAATGATCTAACTGGCTTTATAAAGCAGCTTTTTATGAATACATCTCGAAATGTATCCTCTGCCTGCCTTTTTCACAGACAGTTCCACAGTAAAAGACGCACATGCTTATTTAATAAAATATTATTTCCTAGATATAGAATTATGTATACGTAGGTATCTAAAATTTATGATTCTGTTTCGGATTCTAGGTGATATACTATACGATTGTCTTTTTATGTTTCTATATTTATGAATGTTCAATTAGTAAAGAAGCATATCAAAAATTTATGAAATATGTACAAATCACAACCTTGGCAAACTTCTGTCGAGGTGCTTCTCATTCATTCTAAAGTTCAATCTTGTTGGAAACTGCTTAATAATTCACCTCATAATGTTTCCTATATATCATGAAAATGCACCTTTTCAGTATGCATGAGTGTGCATTAAACATGCGCTTGCCTCCTGCAAGCGTTTCATATTGACCGTTCTGATATTTGGAAGGTGATTTTCGCAATTTATTACCTTTCAAAATTGTTTTTCAAAAAATTCACATTTCCTCGCGGAATCATAAAATTTATACAATGTCGACATTTTCCACACAACGCAGGGAGTTTTAATTTACGCATTTTACTTATTGCAGGAACGCCGTTTTGGTGCTTGCTCGATATTGTACCCATCAAGAATGAAAAGAGGGAAGTCGTCCTCTATCTCGCCTCTCATAAGGATATTACCAACACCAAAATGGCAGAGATGTCCGAATGTGATTTATACGACAGCGGTGAGTATTGCGTTCTCTATTTGGTCCTTGAAATATCACCGCAGGATTTATTTCTAACACGTCGAATTCCCAAATTAATCTGAACGTGCTTCATTTACTCAGCGGTGCATGTTTTTGTTAGAATCGCAGTGCATTTTACCTTCCACAAAGCGTTGATCGGACCTTGACACACTTTTATCGAAATTTATTCACCTGGATTATATTCAAAGATAAATTAAACAGTGTGTTTGTCTATTATCGGTTTTTAGTCTACCCCGCACGTACGGGATTTTACTCGAGGTATTCGGAAAATGCGTTTTCCAATAAATCCTTGTTTTTAAAATGGCGAACAACGTATAATGTTTATTGTCAGATCGTGATAAAAATTGTGCGTATTTCTGATATGGATATTTTCTTATTATATATCGTTTACTATCAAAATTGCAATTCTTCGGCACGAGTAGGCAAATTCAAGTCAAGGAAAATGACGCGTGCAGGTTCTGTTACGTAAACTACAATTTACTGTAAAAATTTCTCCACTTACCGATTTAATTTTTTCCTCGTTCTACCACAGCCAGAAAATGCTTCCAAAGCTTCTTTTGGATCAACCAATGTTCATGTTTTTGGTGTTTTGCGCTGGCTAACTATTCCATGACATTTTTTTTTTCGCAACCTCACATTTTCATGAAGTGTGCAATGTAGCCTTCGGCTACACTTAATGAATTCCATCATCCGTGTTGTTCTTCCAATAACTTTCACCGTGTATTTTGAAAATTGCACGTTTGGAAAACTTAATTAAAATACAAATGAGGATTTTTTAAGGGGCAGTTTCTGCCCAAATCAACTTTTTTATCATGGCATGATATGGAAGTCGAAAAATGTCCAAAGGGGCTGTTAGTCTATTTGCATTTTATGAATTTTGTAGAGGGTGTTCAAAATTATAGCTAATAAATTTAAAAACAATTTTTCTCACTTTTTTCATATGTCGTCGTGATGAAGAATTAAGAAGCCATTTTAAAGAACAATTTTAGTGAGCTCTACCTAGAGGTATAATAATCTAAGTAATTGAACCTGTTGAAAATGACTAATTGAGCACTTAAAAGCCGGTAATATATTTCCGTGGTATTTGGTAAGCACTTGGGTGGCCAATGCTTTTAACATCGATTAGAAGTGGTGAATCTAGGCTATTTGTATAGGTCGTCGGTAACTGAATTATAGGTTCCGTAATTTACCACTGACTGCAGTACATTTTGGTTAACGTTTACATAAACATAAAGCTCAAATTTTCGCTGCAATTATTGTGGCCTTCCATGTCATAATCACTCTATAAAGTGTTTAAATGCATGGAATTTAATAGAAAGACCAATAAATGTGCCCATATCATTAAAACGTCTGTTGGCATCGTCAATTTTCCGCAAATTATCAAAATACATCATTTGTTTGTATCAAATTTGGTAATGGTCCAGTAATAATACATAAATAAATAAAATATTTCGTGTCTAATTTGAAACCAGAGAGAAAGTAATCTCACAAATTGTAACACTAGAAATTAAAATATTTTGTACTGAGTGTTGCTTTTACAGTTTTACAGAAGCCTGAATACTATCGTTGTTTTCTTAGCATTTTTTTAGCATTAAAAATTCGAAAACTAAGAATAGCATTTTCCGGAAAAAAAAATACTTCCGTGTTTTTTTTTTGTCATTCATCAAAAAAACAGACAAGTCACGTTTATTTTTGTGACTACCCAATCAATCTACCTTACCGATACTCCAAATCAGCAACTTTTTATATAAATCGCTCTTACGATTTTCCCATAAAACATTTGAATTTGTGAATGGTGCTGGAGGAGATTGCGAAAGATTTTATATATTATATAATGATACTGTATGTGAATCTTCGCTGTTGACAGAACTTTCAATTTACTTTGTAATTGTACATCTTTAGTTCCCTGTTACGGGGAACTATTAGCCATTCTAAGATGCAAAAACTTCAAAAACCTACGTTGATATTACGTGGGTATCTCAGCTACTATTAGAGATAAAACGATGCGGTTTTCGCAATACGGTGCTCGGTTGTAATGTAATAAAATGGAGAATATTCGTTTTAACATTTTATTAACATAAAAAAACACATTCAAGGCAAACGGAAAACTAATACTAACATCCACTGATCTAGTTAATAAAACACAACTGCAAATAGAAATTTTAAAATGAATGAAAAAAGAAACGGGACACGTGGCATTGAATATTTTAAAAAGATGTTTTAACCTAAAAATTATTGCATATCCATTTAAGAGTTTCTTAACAACCATAACTAACCTAAAACCTTAAACGTGCAACAAAATATATCGTAAATGATACTTATACTTACTATATATTATTATAAAGGCCTTACTTAGATTGCTTAGATAATATTTCTTCTGGTTTTCATATATTTTGTTTTCTGGTAGTAGTCCGAGTAGTTTAGCATTAGTCTTCACATTTGTTGTCCCTGTCGATCTGCATTTTGACTGCTGTGCTGATTAGGAGTTTTTAGAACTAGGTCTTCAGGCCCTTTTATATCACAAAGTTGAAAATTGGCCATATTGATCACTTCAAATGGTGGCTTGTACCTTGATAATTGAATGACGTCGGCGAGATCGTCTGGCGTAAATGATTTCATTATTTTTTTTTCGCAAAATCCCGGTTACAGGGCATAAAGCTATGCCCGGTAATAAGAAAGTTAATCCGTATTGAATCTGAAAAGCTGTGAGCTACCAAAGATATCATTTGTATTTGTATTTGTTGTTATTTTGACCAATGTTGTCACACCAGAGGGTTATAGATCTTTTATTGGTAAATCTCATATTTGAAAAGCGAAGCGAATAAAAACATATAATCATTGTTCGTGTCAGCTATCTAAATTATATATATATATATATATATATATATATATATATATATATATATATATATATATATATATATATATATATATATATATATATATATATATATATATATATAAGTTATAATTTAGAAGTTATATAGTTAGAAGTTATAACAGGAAAGCTGCGAAAAATAAAACATATTAGAATGCACCAACGTAGAAGCAAGCACCATACCTAATTTTCTGGAAGTAAAGACTCACCTGTATGCCCTTTTAGAAGTTCCCTAGCTCTGTCAACTTTCGTTTGATGAAGCTCCAGTTGAGATTTAGTGTTCCTACTTGTTCTGATATTTGCACCAACTCCACAATCCAGTAGATCATAGTGTCCTTTTTTGGTTTTGGAAAGTCCTTAGCATTTAAATTTGGACATTGTTTATCAGATTTTGCCCATGTGTAATAACCAATATTTCTTGGTCTGTAATTAATATGGGTTCTTATGGTTTGTTTTCTTGTCACTGTGTATAAGTAAGTATTTTTCAGAATGTTAGGATATATTATAATATGCACCAAATGCAGTAAACGGCATTTGAGTCAGGAGTTTATTTAGCACGAGCGGAGCGATTGTTTAATAAACGAGTGACTTAAAAATTTACCAAAAAAGTTGCTACTTTTTCTACGACCGTTAGTTTTCGGGTACATTTTCGCAAAGCAACACGAATACATTCACTGATATGACTGTCAGAATTGACAACGTCAAAATTCAAGGCGGCGAAATATGTCCGAAAATATCCGATTGCTCCCAAACCCGTGCTGTAAAATCCCGGAAATGTCCGAAGTGACTCGAATCCACGGGACAAGAAACTCACGTGGTAAAGTGACTGAGTATTTTACAGAAAGGAGTAGAAAAAGTATTTTTTAACGGAATGGTGTAGTTAACATAACGGCCACTACTGTTTTTCCAACTCTTTTTTTGGCCAGATTGACTCATATTTTACAATAATTTTCCAAATTAATTATTTATGTAACACCGTTATAAAATTTAAGTTAGCATAGGCATTGGCACTTGCCTCACAAAGCGTGTTGTTTAATACTTGTCTCTGGGAGTAATTTAATTTTACAAATTACTTGTTACTTCCACTCCTCAATTACCCTTTGTACTTTAAACACCCTTTATGGTATTGAGATGATGAAAACGAAATATTATAGATGTTTTTACGTATTATACAAATATACGTACGTTACGTATTATACAATTACGTATTATACAATTACGTATTATACAATTATACAATGGTCTGAAAGTTGGTAGAAGTTCGTTTGAGTGATTTCTTTGAGTTTATTATATATTCTATTCTATAATTATATATCTATATCTATTTTAAAAATTTGATCTGAGCACTCCACCGGATACAAAGGGTAACTGAAATGGTAGAATTTTCTGTGTCGCGCTATATAGGAAATGGCATCTTTTGTTTCATGAAAATGACACACAGTATTGCGGAGACTGCACCACTCTATCTCTAATAATAACTGAGATACACCGCCATAACAATGAAAAATGGACCATATTATTGACGCACACTCCAGTTCACTCCATGATATAAAATCAGGTGTTAGTGGATTCGAGAAAGTACAAAAATTTCTAGTAATAAATCCCAGCATCCCTAAAGTAGAATTCACCAAGCTAGTACTATATATGCATGGTGACATTATCTATTTAGAGAAGTACAGTGTTATGTGAAGGTTATACGCTATTTGTAATTGTGTTTTCAAACTGTTTTTTCTCTGAACTACTACTAAGCCAGATGTAACTTCTTCTCTATTTCTTATGTCTTTTACTTTATCGTAGCTGCCGTTCTGGGCGCCCGATTTCGCGGCACCGCTGATTCTTGCCTCCTTGCAGACAAGGCCAACGGAGACTTGGATGATTCCGATGCACCACCGGCGAATTATGGAAGAAGAAGGTCGAGGGCTGTTCTCTATCAGCTAAGCGGCCACTATAAACCCGATAAGATGAAAACGAAACTGAAGCTGAATAATGTAAGTAGCTAAATTTGAAAGCGAACTGACCGATCACTAAATTAAAACGCGATAGTTCTATTTTTTCAACACCTAGACATTTTATTTTTTTTATTTTAAGTTCAACTAGTTGACTTGACTTTGTGTCAAGGTATTCGACTCAGAAATTTGTTACTGAAAAATTACACGGAGTGTCCCACTTAAGAACTGTACATCCTTGTAAAATGTTTGTTTATGGTTCGATTTTGATTTTTCTTTTGTTGGATAGGTCTCTGAAGAGTACCCCAAAATCTTGTTTTGCTTATTGCTTCAATTTAAAATCATGGCCAACTGGAAATGTTTACCAAAAGAAAGAGAACAACTATTAATTTTTTTTAATTTAAAAAAATGAATTGGCAACTAATTCTTATTCAGGGGTACTTCGAACCAAAACAAACCAATTTTTATAATGCTTCAATACAGGGTTTGATTACGGTTTGATTTTGATTTTTTTTGGATAGATCCTTTAAAAACGCACTAAAACCTTATGTTTCTTATTACATCTACCTGAAGTCATGGCGAACTGGGACTAATTTTTGAAGCAAATATCAAGAAGGGTTATTAGGGATTTCTTTAAGAATAATGTGTCAACTAATTCTCATTAAAACCTTATGATTCTTATTACATCAATCTGAAGTCACGGCTAACTGTGATTAATTTTTGATATCGAATATCGAGAAGGGCTATTATGGATTTCTTTAAGAAGAAAGTGTCAACGAATTGTAGTTCAGGACTACATAAAACCTAACTATACAAATTTCCATGAAGTTTGAATACAGGGTGCTAGAAATAATGCGTGCGGTTATGTATTACTCCTGTAGAATGTTTGCTTATAGCTCAATTTTTATAACTCTTTTCTTGTCTTATCCATTTCACTAAAAGACACTAACGATTTTCTTACAATCAAATAAATAAAGAGGATTAGATATGAACGAAACAGATTTTACAACGCTATATTTTTTTAATTAATTTCATTCTCATCTAGTAATGAAAATAGCAGAAATATCAAAATTAATTGATGTCGGCATACCGTTTCCTTTGTAAAACCAAGTTTGCAATGTAGAAGCGAATATTCGAGAGTCCAATTCACTCGCTAATTTATATTTTAATTTTGTTTACATTATATCTTTCGAATACTAAGATTTATTAATGTTTTAAGATGATACTAAAAAATTAATGTCCCATAAAAAGTATTTTTAAACTTTATTTTCGACCTTTGCATAATTAAAATTTCTTCGTTCTTTACAAGGTTTACAATATTTATTTTTTTTTAAAGCATTAACAACTTTGATCATTGGTATTTTAAGTAGTTCGGTATATGAATCGGATTTGAAAAAATCTCTAAAAGTACTTCTCGATTTTCCGCTTCAAAAGACTGTGTCACTTTGCTATGACTTTCTCTTTAGTAAGATCTATCGAGCAAGAAAGATTGATCGTAAACCAATATTCTACAGTAATCTTTCAGCGCAAACTTCATGGAAATAAGTATAGTTAGATTTTACGTTTTTAGTTATCAAAATCGATCCATCAACAAATATTTCACAAAGAGTTCTTAAATGGGACACACTGTACATATGGTCCGCCTTATCTTACAACCTCGTAGTTGCAAAGCAGACACCTGTTTGTGGAATAGCATGTCCATTTATCACTTGAAACAGAATTAAGCGGTGTACCCCAGGGATTTGTCCTGGGCCCGCTATTCTCTATCATTTATATAAGCGACCTTTATCATTCTCTTTACTTCATTTACTAAGAGTGCCGAAGAACTGTCCATAAAACTGTGAAAAAATAAAGCTCGGATTATGTTAAATTAAATTTAGATCCAAAGATTCCATAGCAAATTGTCCATAAGAGTGCTTGTTATTCAAAGTGACGAATAATTTGAATTTGAAACACCATAAGCCTTAGCTGAAAAATAACATTTTCGTTTTCCACCGCCTTAGAGGTTTGGTTAGGGCAAAAACTCTTCTTATGGTTTATTTTTCTTTCTGTTATGGGACGGGGCTATGGGATTATTCCTCAGCTGTTGTTGACATATTTATAATGCAGAAGGAAGCCATTCGTATGCCAATAAAGAAATCATTGTCAACTTTTTTTAGCTTAAAGTAATGCCTCTTCTCTGTATCTATATCTTCTACCACTTGCTACAGATGAAATGAACGAAGGAAAACGATAAATAAATAAATACTAGAAATGAATAAACAAGGAACATATTTTCCAGAGTACCTTCATGTGCCTCGAATATTGCGAAATGAAGTGGTCAGTTTTATTTTGCCTGACCATTTTGTCTGCATGTCTTTTCGAGTGTCTTTCACACAAAAAGAAATTAAATAATATGTTTGTCTATTATTCTTATGATATTTTAATAACTATTGACCACCTTACACTGCCATAAGAAACACAAAAACGGCTTCATTTTCTGGAGTGAAGAAAAAACTGCTCGCAATATTAAATAAAATTTATCAAACAACGCGTTTGCCTTAAACTCAAACCTCAAAAAACATGAAAAAGGCAGAGAACGCAAAGTTTACTCGTGCCTCAGAGAGCGAATTTGCTATTTTCCTGTTAGACAAAATGGGATTTAAGTGTTCTACTGATAGCCTTTCTGCATATAAATAACTCTCTTAACCTCAGAGGCAGAGCTGTGAATGCAAATATCTGAACAAGATAAACGTAAATGCCAAGTCCAACTTATACTGCAAAATGGAATACACGAATTGAATTTTAAAAATGAAAAAGAACACATTGATATTTTGTCCATTCGGTTCCTAGAACAGATTCGCTTTGAAAATATATACAGTTTTTATAAGTTTTTATATGTATTGATCTTGTAACATAAAATGGGAAAATTGTAGACCTAAATAAGGTTTTTTTTCATTTTTGAGTCTCCATAAGAAATGATTTTGAAAATGATTTTCCTAAAAGTTATACTTTTCATCTGATTTTAATTTGAAAAACTTAGTCCAATCAGTTTAAACTATTAATTTTTAAAATTTTCATCATTTTTATTTCATTTCGGTGTTTTTAGTACCGAATTTTCTCCTACAAAAATATTAACCTTCCAAAAGTGCAAATAAAAGACGGTTGCTTGCAGATTTTTTTAATTAAAAAGGAAAATTTTCAGAACATCTAAGAAAACAAATGTGTTTGAATAATTTAGAAAAACATCATTCGACACTTTTAATTTTCATTTTATATAACTCCTTTTAATTCTTTTTGTATTTGTGGATATACAGGGTGTTTGCTAATTGAGTTACGATTGAAGAGGAGAATCCTGTGCTCATTTTAAGAATTAAATTTAATATAAACGTAAACTTAACGTAACAAAAAACGTTTCATCATAATTTTCGTATCATTATTTTTTATGAATATTTTTATGAACTTCTATACACATCTTTTTTTTTTGTAAATTAAAATTTTATGGTCAAACTTTGTCCATTAAACATTTCTTTATAAATAAATGCAAAAAAAAATGTTTATTAGATTATTGCTTTTCATACTTTGTTGCGGTGCCTACTAAACCTTTTTTGCATCAATATATTTTGACGTGCTTGTAGGTATGATATTGAATGTGTGAATAGACAAAATTATGATTTATTATCTATTTTTTGTTAAAATTTTAACACTTTTTTTTTATTTTTAAACTTTCTTCTAATCATCAGAAGATTCACACCCTTAAGAATCGATACCAATTTACTCAATTCAAGCAAAAAAAAAAGCTGAAAATTTAGATAGCTTAGCTTTTAATAAATAGCTAATCCCGCTACCATTTGGCACAATAAATTTTACTTCGAGAACTAAATCCGTGAAATAGTGCTTGCTTATAAATTATGTATAGTGGTTTTGTTAAATAAATAAAGGCTGCTAGTCCAACTACGCCCTTAATTTTTGTTTGCTCTTTTTCGATTTCATTCGGCTCTTTAAAAAGATCCCCATTTTAAATTCTGCTGACATTTCGTTCGCAAATTGCCACTGGGTTAATACGAATATCGTGAACAATTCGAAGTGCAATTTTATTTTCGCCATGTCGTTGATGAAATTTGTATTTCTTTGCCTCTGTTAGAATTAAAAGAATTCTAAATATTAGCATTACGAAATTATTATTTTATGAGACCACTTTTCTCCCATTACGCGAATTTTGAATATGGTATGTTTGGAAATCTTAAAAATACCCCCCGAATAGCCTATATAGGATGGCACTTTGCTTTTGTGACTCATACCTAAAAAGTTCGGGATTTAAATTGAAATTATATTTATTTTAGCGGCGCAATTAACCCAATAAATATACATGTTAATTTCCGGATTGTTAAATAAACCGATTTGTTGTCTATTTAAAGTGTTTAATTTAATTTCAATTTTGTTTTGTTCTGAGCTGACAGCGGATAAAAATCATTTATGTGTGTGTGACATAAAGTGGATTTTCTTTTAAATAAATAAGTTCTCTAAAACGGTAAGGATTAAATTAAAGTCCGAAGTCGGTGTCTCAAAAATTATTATTTCTAAAATGTGTAATATTTTCGTTGACACGAGCATCATTAGACCTATAAAAGCAATTTTTTGTTCTACTCCCGTCTGTAAAATAGCTAATTACGCACCGATCTAGCGTGCGGGAAGGGTCACTTTACGACGTCAGTTTCGTTTCCCACGAATCCGAGCCACTTTTTAACTTACTCGTTTATTAAACACTCGCTCCGCTCGTGTCAAATAAACTCGTGAGTTAAATGCCGTTTACCGCACTTGTTGCATAATATACTATTTTGAAATAATAAAACAACTTACATAAATTAAGAATACGCACATACAAAAACGTCAGCACAAAAGCACACAGACACAAATTGGAATGAGACTGAATCCGTTTGATTTTACCGAGAACTAAAAAATGAAATAAGAAATGTTGCGATTAAGAAGTAAAAAATATAAAAATAAAAAAACAAAAAACACCAAACAGGCCTGCACCGGAGACCTGCAGTTTATATTATTAA